ACCATCGTGAAGCTCGCTCAGTATGGCTTCTGGTCAAATCAGTGCCACGCCGCAGGCGGTGATGGGCCACGTTACAAAGCTCAGTGACAATGACCCCGACTTCCGTTTCATGGCCCTAAACGATTTGCTTCAACTTCTGCATATCGCTAAGCCCGACTTTCTGCACCATGACTATAATATCGCCGCTCGTACTGTTGATAGTCTCATCAAGGTGTTGGACGATCAAAATGGTGAGGTGCAGAACCTTGCAGTGAAGTGGTATGTCAAGCGGACAATCCAATCTATGAAGTGCTAACGGCTATTAGCCTGGGCCCATTTGTGGGCAAGATTCCGATGCCCGTTATCGCTCCCTTGATCGAGAAGCTCTCGACTCTGAAGCTTAAGAATTCTGTGGACAATGCTGTTCCTTCACTTGCCCTGCGAAATGTCATCATCGCTCTCCCCCGACCAGTCCCAGGCCTCCCACCAACAAACGATGTGCAGGAAGCATATAGCGCCATCAGCCGCGTGTTGATTCCCCGGCTTATTGGGCCCGGCCCCAAAACCCAGGTCCCAAAGAACCCCAAGGTCCCTCTTCCTCCTGTCCCCGAAGGACTCCTACAAAACGAAGGCGACCTCAACGCAGAAGCTGTCGACGTATTGATTGAGGTTGTCCGATGCTTTGGACCTATGCTTGTCCAGGTTGAAGTAGAGGCTATGCAAGAGGTTGTTATTCAGCTACTCGAAAGCGAGAAAGGCACATCAGTTGTCAAGAAGAGGGCTGTCGTTGCTATATCCATGCTCGCGGTCTATTTGTCTGACGAGCACCTGGAAGAAGTAGTCAGGCGAATCACCCTTGGACTAACGAAGCGAATCACCCCCGTCACCAGAAGATTATACATCTCGATCCTCGGTAGTATGGCCCGGTCGATTCCCGCACGATTTGGACCCCATCTTGCCGGTACTGTACCCTTGATTATCAAGGCACTTAGTGAGGAGGAGCTTCAAGAACACCTCGATGCGCTTAGCGACGGAGACGATCTTGGGCAAGATTTCAACGAGGTTCGAGAAGCTGCTTTGGTAGCCTTAGATGCCTTCTTGGCCTCATGCCCTCAAGAGATGCGCCCGTTCACAGATGAAACTATAGAAGCCTGCCTGCGATATCTCAAATATGATCCCAACTACAACGTGGATGACGAGGACGAGGATATGGAGGATGAAGAGGAGGATGAAGAAATGGATGAGGACGACGAATTCGATGCCGACGATGGCTTTGAAGACGACGATGATGACGCCAGCTGGAAGGTTCGACGGTGCGCTGCAAAGACCATCTACACAGTTATCTCAACACGTGGCAGTGGTGACCTGCTTGAGAACGGTGTACTTTACAACCAGACGGCACCTCACCTTATAAAACGTATTTCTGAGCGAGAGGAGAACGTTCGCCTTGAAATTATTTCGGCACTTTCGCTCTTGGTTCGCAAGACTGGTGAAGGACTTCCCACAACAGACCTCACCCTAGACGATCTTGAGCCAGAATTCGAGACCCGCATCCCCATCAGCAGGAAAAGAAGACGTCAGAGCAGTGGTGGAGGCGCTTCTGCGTCCCAATTCATGTCAGGATCTGGATTGGTTTCACCCGTCTTGGAGAAAATCCCTCCTAGCGGTCCACGAGCTGACTTGGCTCGCCTCACACCGTCCATCGTTAAGGCAACCACCAAGCAACTCAAGGGCAAGACTATTCCTACCAAGCAGGCAGTTATAAAGCTTCTGGATGACATAGTTTCAGTTCAACATGGCGGATTGGCTGAGTACTTTGATCAAGTCATTGGACCTATAATTGAGGCTATCCAGCCTGCTGGTGCTGTATCCGCCTCGACTCAAGTGGCGTCCCATTCCGGCTCCTCCTCAGCGACCCCAAGCACTTTGAGAATCACTGCTCTTAGCGTGATCAGTGACATTGCCAAGACTCATTCGTCAACACTTCTACAGCCCTATCTTACGAAGATTGTCGATGGTGTGGCATCTGCTGCTAACAACCGTTTCTACAAGATCTCAAGTGAGGCTATCCGCACCGTGGAGGAGCTGGTTAAGACGATTACCCCACCAAGATCACGCAATGCTGCTTCCAAGTACAAGGCTGAGCTGGAAAAGCTTTATACCGTCATTATAGACAGGTCCTCCGCTCAGGATGCCGATGCCGAGGTCCGCCAACGCGCCATCCATGCATTAGGAGTCCTTGTTTCGCGAAATTCAACCTCCGAGGGATCTTCCCTTCTCTCTGATGATAAGGTGAAGACTGCTCTGGAAGTCTTGCAAGAGAGACTGAAGAATGAGACTACTCGTCTTGCTGCCGTCCGCGCTGTGGAGAACGTTGCCCGTTATGCCCGAACCCCCGAACAACTGGACAAGGCATGGGTTCAAGATGTTAGTTTGGAACTGTCAGCACAGCTACGAAAAGCAAATCGGTCACTTCGTGGCTCCAGTATCATTGCTCTTCGTAACCTTGTCTTGTCGCCCGCCACGAAGGGTCAGCTCGAACCGGATACCATTCAAGGAATTGTCACCGACTTGATGCCCATCATCGTTAACAGCGACGCGCATCTCCTTGGACCGACATTAATTATCCTTGCAAACTTGGTGACCGAGCACCCCGAGCTGGTGGTCACTGATGAGATGATTGCCGCCATCTCGCAGCTGCTCAAGGAGCACCACGCAGGAATCGTTCTTGACCAACTTCTTGTGCTAGTCAGCAACATTGGAGAGAGCGGAGTCGGTCAGGGGCTCATGCAGGGACTTTTGAAAAACGTCAGCGTTGCAGGTGACCCTCCTGTCGTCGGTAAAGTTATTGGGACTCTGCTCGTTACCGGTGGAGACTCGGTTGGTGTCAAGCTTGATAGCTTTGTCACGGAGCTCTATACTAGTGCTAAAACGAACGATGAAGCCCGAGTCAGTCTTGCCCTGGCCGTTTTAGGTGAAGCCGGAAAGAGACTTGGAACAAGCTCGACGTTGAAGCCGGATCTTTTCTTGGATCAGTTCCACAAGGAGCCAGACAAGGTGTCTCTCTCGGCAGCCGTCGCTCTTGGCCAGGCTGGCTCCGGCAATGTTCCAGAATTCCTTCCCATCATCTTGAAAACCATGCAGAAAGGTGGAAACACTCAGTACCTCCTTATTCAGTCCATCAAGGAAATCCTACAATCGATCTCTGCGCAGTCTACTGACCTACGCAACTACGCCCCAGCTATCTGGGACGAGCTTCTCAAGGCTTCCGACAATGCCGACAACAAGGTCGTTTGTGCTGAATCTGTTGGACGACTTGTCACACTTGACCCTGCCGTTTTCATTCCACGCCTTCAGGTATGCATGCCGAAGCCCATACGTTCTGAATGTTCTAACTCTTCATAGGCTCTCCTGAAGGACCAGTCTCTGGGTATTCGAGGGATGGCTGTTCAAGCTGTTCGCTATACCCTTCCTGAAAGTGACGAGGTTTTGGACGTGATGCTACGGGAGGTTCTAATTGAGATGCTTCTGACAATGCTACAAGACTCCGATATGGATATTCGGCGACTAGCAATGATCACGCTCACTACAGCTGCTCGATCAAAGCCCGATCTAATCCACCCGCACTTGGGAGAACTGATGCCATTTGTTCTTCAAGAATCAGTCATCAAGAAGGAACTTGTGAAGGAAGTGATGATGGGTCCTTTCAAGCACACCGTAGACGATGGCCTGGAGGTCCGAAAGGTGCGTTAACGATGAACTCGTTGTGAACAGGAACTAACTTTGAACAGAGCGCATATGAGACACTGTACGCCTTGATGGAGACTGCATTCAGTCGCATCAATAACATCGACTTTTACGATCGTGTCATCGCTGGTCTCAAGGATGATAATGATATTAGGCAGCTCTGCAATCTCATGGTGACCAAGCTGATCGTGATCGACCCCGATGAGACAACTCGACGCTTGAACTCGATCGCTGAGGCGTACAGAACTGTCCTCTCGGTCAAGCTGAAGGATAATGCCGTGAAGCAGGATGTAGAGAAACAAGAGGAAGCTAACAAGAGCATTCTCAGAGTTACTTCGCTGTTGGGAGAGAAGATGAAGGCCATGACTGGCAACGCTGGAGCAGCTACCAGTAACGCTGGTGCCGCCAGCACCTGGACAGGATACTGGGATTGGGTCAACAAGGAGTTTGAGAAGCAGTTGAAAACACTGAGGGAGGAGAACAATCAATTGCAGACCCGGATGGTCTAAGATCTACACTGTAATGGCAATGGCGAGGCGATGACAATTCTGGAAGACGCAGTTCAGACAACTGGCCCGTTTCATCCTTTGGCACAACGATCATTGCACCGAGAATTAGGTAACATTATTACAGAAATCACAACAATTATACAATCTTGGACCAAATACGCCGAATATTGAGATGGTTACCAGTGGCGACGGACGGATCCTATAAAGCGAGAAGATTAGTGGCACTACTACACGAAGCACGAATTTTATTAGTCAAAAGTGTTGGGATTAACTCTCTTCCTCGTTTATTGTTTTGATTACTTGAAACCTCCTCACTGTTGCCTTCCAGCGACTGAATCAAAGAATTACTTTGGGGGCCAAAAATTAGGTGGGTATGTCAGTACCCCGGAAGCCACTCTCGTTTCTTGATAGACCTCCCGAGATAATTCTAAAGCTATCTTTAAATTGAAAGATATTTTGGCTCCTATTCCTCAACTCCCATCGCCTGTATATCCCTGCTTATAATCACCTTCTGGTCTCGTAACTGAGCTGCTCTCAACATTATGGGGCGCAGGATGATGCCTAAATGGGTAAGTGGGATAAAGAGCATGATCGCCAGGCCAAGGACTGACGAGGACTGCTTAGGGGCCAGGATGTTATGCGGGGGATCATATACCTTGTGGAGGGATAACACGCCGTCTTATTCATATAAAGCCCATCCATTTCATTCATTTTCAGCGGATTGAGTCCTGCCTTCATCTCTTCAGTCTTTGAGTGACTTGCATGATGAAGATCCCAGTGCAGCCTCTCCCTCTTTTGCTTTTCTTCACTGGCGATGTACTCGCTGCAAAGAACTACCATTGTCCTCCAATTGGCCCAGTCCTCCCTGCACCAACTAACCCAAGCTCACATCAGAATGTGAAAATTGCCATTGAGGCTATCAGAGAGACTATAAAGGCCTATTCGAGTCTACTGCACAGCACAGCTGTCTCAGTCGGTGTCACGTCAATTCACGAGGACAAACCCTTGCTGGACTTCCATCACACGCCAGAAAATCTCGATCCTCGAGGCGTAAGCAAAATAGATGCCGACTCGGTTTATCGCATTGGGAGTATCTCGAAGGCGTATACTACCCTCGCTGCGCTCAAGCTCAAGGGAGTGGGCATACATGACCCGGTGACGAAATATGTTCCTGAATTGAGAAAGTTGAATAAGCAGCAGAGTGAGAATAATGCGATTACGACTGTTGATTGGGATAAGGTATCGCTGCAGGCTCTCGCATCGCACATGGGAGGCATGCCTGCTGATTGTAAGGTTTGCATTCAATAGGAAATGGCGGTACTAATGCTTGGTAGTGTCGACGGATTTGACGAGCTTTAGGAATTGGACTGATCTGGGTCTTCCTGCTGCACACGAGGTCTTAGGATGTGCTGGTCTGGTCGGAATTCCTCCCTGTGATGTTCAAGGTGAGTATCTACCCACCAATACCTGTGGTTTTGACTAACGTGGCAAGACTTTTGGGACAATTTTGGCAAACGGCCTCCGACTTTTGCACCTTGGAGCAACCCAGTGTACTCAAACATAGCCTTTTTCGTTATGAGCTTGGTCATAGAGAGAGTTTCTGGAGAGTCATATGAAGAGTTTGTGCAGAAGAATGTTCTTGATGTTGCAGGGATGAATAGCACGACTTATTCGAAACCCGATGACTCCGTGGGAGCCATTGGACCTGATGATACTTTCTGGAATAGCTCCATCGGTATCCTGAGTCCGTAAGTTGGATCACGTCTAAGCACTGACATCTAGCTAACTTGTATAGGGCTGGCTCGTTCTACTCATCAACAAAAGACCTCCTCGCTTTCGGATCTTCCATCCTCAAGCACGAGTTCTTAGACCTGGCAGAAACAAACGAGTGGCTCAAACCTGTGACTTTTACCAGTGGAAGGGGAGAGTTTATCGGCGCACCGTGGGAGATTGTGCGATCTAATAAGCTGACCTCTGACGAGCGTGTGGTCAACGTCTACACCAAAGGAGGCGACATAGGAACATATCATTCCATTTTTGCAATGATTCCAGACTATGGTATAGTTATCAGTGTATTAGTGGGAGGACCTGAGAATGCGGGAGGTCTTCCTCTGGTTTTCTTCTCAATGATCACAAAAGTTCTTGTGCCCGCACTTGAAGCAGCGGGTAAAGACCAAGCAAAGAAGGCATTTGCAGGGACATACATCAACGAAGATACAAACTCGACTCTCGTTCTCGATGTTGACGACGACGGTCCTGGGCTAAGCATCACGAAGTGGATAGTCCGCGGAACAGACGTCTCGACACATTGGCTGCACTACCTCTCAGTGCTCAACCCCAACGTACCCAAAATCTCACTATCTGGACGACTATATCCTACAGATCTCAAAGTGGGGAACAAGACAGCGTGGAGGGCAATGTTTAGAATTGGCACGGCGACTCAAATTGGAATGCAGGAGGGGTTGTTGTTCTGGGAGGATGCGAGTTGTATGAGTTGGGCGATGGTAGATAGAGCTGCGTATGAGTTTCTGGGACTGGACGAGATGGTGTTTGAGAGTGAAGATGGAAGGGCTGGGGAAGTTGAATTGGTGGGATTCAAGACAACTTTGAAGAGGAGTGAAAAGGAGTGGTGAAACTGTGTATTGTGTCTATATAAGAAGTGCCAAAGTTCGCCAAATCGCTTTCGTTCTCGTCAACCGTTACGCTGAGAATGATGACCATTGAACATGTACTATAGACTGATCGTATAATAAAGAGCGTTGAGTGTGGTATGATGTCAAAGGCGAGGAGTCGATACGTTGATGAGAGGAAGCGTGCATGGGAAAGCCACAGCGTATTGTGTGTCGAAGGTGAGACGTCGAGGGTGCAAGGAAGGAGACTGGAGAGGAACGGCTTCTTCTACAATGGCTGTCAGTTTGGTAATAGAGAATTGAGAGACAATGCAGAATACCGGAGTTTCGAGCAGAGTTAGACGGTGTTCTTCTGCAGAAACAGTGCCAAAAGACGAGAATGAAGGCGGGGACGTTGACTAACACACCAACGATGGCGACTATGACCTCTGGAGGCATGGCGATGCTGCGAGATTTGGTAGTTGAAAGACAGTGATTTTAACTTCAGAGAAGAATTGAGTACTTGAGCACTTGAAAGGGAATTTTAAAGCAGAAAATGAACATGTCAAATACCAAGCATGCGGGAACCAAAGATCATATATGTATCTCAGCTGTTGGAGTTCTCCCATGTTGGGAGTGAAAAAGATGCCGATTCTGGTCTAGGTGATCTGCAGGCCGACGTCGTTTGCAATGGCTTAGCCCTCCTTTTGAAAACCACCTAACGGCCCTACGACTCAAATGTTTGAAGTTTTAAAAATAGATCCAATTAGAATTAGCATATTGCTTATTTAATCTTCTATAACAAAGATCAGAAGCCAAGGTAGCAAGTCCCCTATCAGTATCACATCAACAGACTAATGATCTAGCCCTCCTAGATAATCATAGGACTTATATCATCATTATAATCAGCTATATATACAAATTTATAGTCTTAGGAACGTTAAAAGGATACCCAACACATGCGAATACAGTATTCACACAACACTGTATTTCACTATAGATACCTCTGAGTTCAGGTCTGAGCTACGGAGTAAACAAAGGGTTATAAATGACCTTGAGTGCTGGTGTATGTCCCCCGGAGCGTTGGCATATGATTTGGTATTGTTAAGCTTGGCTGATTATTCCGCAGGCTCTGATGCCCGTGTTCATTGTCAGTCCTAGCGGCGTTGGTGCATCTCATTCTGCCTTTTGGTAAGACAGGGCAAACGCGAATTCTGGCCAACCTATCATGGCTCTTCCATACTTATGGGTGGTATTGATTGTTTCTTTCGCACGAGAGAATCATGAGTTCAAGGCTCATGTTCGCTATGGTACAGTACGAGATCATTGACGTTGTTATAGAATCGTATCTGAAAGCCACTTGGTAAGAATCTCACCCTACTCTTAGATGTCATCTCGTGAGATTGAACTCTGTAGAAGTTCCAACTGAACAAGAATGATACCGACCTACATCTGTATCGGAGATCAATCAGATAGATCCGAGATGTATATGCTACATGCCCAAAGTGTAAATTGAGGCACTCCATCTTAAACACTGTCCTGGTCGCAGCCTGATCTGGGCCTGCGGTCACCCAGAACCAGAAACATTCTTTAAATGAGTAAACTATTGGCTCTAGAGACCCTGGACCGTGTTACTGCATGACAGATGTGATTGAGGAAACGCGAATTTTGGCTGCCAATCAGGGACCCGGCGGAGGAATCAGCCTCACTGGAGCGCTGCTGCATGATGACCATGCCCTCCAAATCAGGCTCTGGATGAGTACGTATCAAACACGAATTTTGGACAGAGGCCAGCTTTGGCCAGGTACTCAGGTACTTCGAGTGCCCGAAAGCGTGGCAGTGAAATCGTTCCCTAGGCCGATACTTAAAGGCCCAACCCTCCCATCCATTCTCAATTTCCTGTACCCTATCTGCACCACTCATCATTTACAAGAGGTTTTACTCTTACAGAGGTCTACTTAAATCTATTAAACATGCCGCAAACAGCAAGAATTCCGACCGCTCTTTGGGAAGCTCAAAGGCCTCGCATAACCGAGCTGTACGTCGGTCAAGACAAGACTCTTGACGAGGTTATCCAGATCATGGCAGAAGCTGGCTTCCATGCTACGTGAGTCAAATTGATGCCATTCTGGTGCGATATGTCTAACAAGAAGATAGGAAGCCCCAATACATTCGCAAAGTTAACGTCAACTGGAAGCTGCAAAAGAATTACACCAAAGAAAAATGGCAGCATGCAAGCGCTTTAGTCGAGAAGCGTCAGGCAGGGGGAAAGTTGACGAAACTCAGCATTGATGGCAAATTCATCTCGGAGAAAAGGCAGAAGAAAGAACTAAGAAGATATCACGTTCCGCAGGTCGAAGAAGAGTGTAAGTATAGCATGCTTGGATACAAACACCTGCTAATCTGGTGAATTTGAAGTCATTAGTACTCACGCCTATGGGGTGGTTGCTTGTACACCGCCATCTTCGAGCTCCAGGGTCGTTCTCATCAACGGCCTCCCCTGGCTGAAGTTTCGAGCAAGCTTCAACAATCTAAGTGAGTTTGTACTTACCCCAACCGTCCTATGTTAAAACTGACGCAATGCAGTTGAGAGTCGAACACCACTTTTCAGTCCCAACCAACAAAATGGGACACTTGAATTCTGGGAAGTGACAAATAAATTGCTATCCGGCGTCCATACCACCGGGAAAATGGGTACTGGAAGTCTGCCATTGCCAGAGCCACCAAGGCCTGTCTCCGACGACCTTTCGAAACACTTTGACATAAAAGGAGAGCGACTGTTTGAACTGGTCCCAATGTTGGAGAATCCTATGGAGATCCTCCAACATCTAGAGCCCCCATGGTTGCAAATCTTCAACTCGTTGGTGTTTCTTTGCTCCAATAATTTGGTGGCAACCAAAAGCTCCGCCTACAAGCTTCTCCAGCTCGCCATTTCGAGTGGCTTTCTTATCGAGATGAAGCATCTATTTACAATGAGTGTACCGACTCTCGAAATATTTGCAAGACACCTTTTGTTTGTGGCGCTCGGAGTTCCAGGAAACAAAGGGATAGAGTTCCTGCATTTCTTACTCGAGTCTGGGGTCAGCCCTGGCAGCACTGATCCGAATGAAAACGGATTTTCTGCGCTCCAAACAGCCGTACAAGAAAAGAACCGGGACGCCGTCCAACTCCTTCTCGATTTTGGGGCGGATCCAAATGGAAAAGTTGAATGCACCAAAGATAACACGCCCGAGAACCCTCTCAATTGCGCCTTGAATTGGGGTGGTGATATAGAAATCGCAAAAATGTTAATTGAATCAGGAGCGAATATGAATTCTGGACTCGAGAAGCCTTTGATCCAAGCGGTCAGAAATGGGGACTTGGTCCTCGTAAAACTCATGTTGGAAGTTGGAGCAGACCTGAAGATGCTACCAGCAAAAGGTCTTTCAGTGTTATACTTCGCGATCAACAAGCACGAATTGAGTCTGGTCAACATATTGATTGAAGCCGGAGTAAACCCGAACTTATTGATCGACGAACTTCAAGATGGGGATTTCGCATTTCTGAAACATGAGTTGGACATGTTTGTTACTCCTCTCCATTACGCAGTACTTGCAGGCGATATTGGCATTGTCAAGCGCCTGGTCCAGGGCGGCGCAGTCCTAGACATATTCATCGATCCAGAAATGCTGGACGAGACGGAAAGAACTCTGCGTTCAAAGAAAATATCAACTCCTCTTCAGATCTCAATTCAGGAGCGCGAGCATGAAATCACCAAAATCTTCCTGGATGCAGGCGCAAGCGTTGACTTCCGACATCCAGCCACTGGGACAGCATTGCAGTTAGTATGCAGTTGGCCAATGGCGGAAGGGGAGAAGATAGAGTTGGCCAAAGTGTTGTTGGCAAAAGGGGCAGACATCAACTCTCTGCCTGGAGAAGATGCGGGGAGAACAGCGATGCAGGCTGCAGCTGAATCTGGAGATCGTGATCTCCTAGAGCTACTTTTGCGTGAAGGAGGCGATCTCTTTGCTTCTGCCGCTAGAGAATATGGGTTGACAGTTTTTCATGCCGCATTGAGGTCGCGCTCTGCTGATCTTGTGGCTTATGTCTTCGAGGAATTGTGGAGTTCCTGTAGCCGTTTCGACCTTCTTGATGGAATAAACTACCTCGAGGAGGCAGTGTCTACTGGAAACTTACAACTTCTAGAAACAGTATTGAAGTTCTGGAATCGGCATGGTCTACGTTGGCCAACAGAATTCATTTCATCTGCCCTCAAAACCGCCGTTCGCAGTGGTTTCATCTGTCATATTCTTGGTCCCGACGCTGAGTCGTTTACCATCCGTTTATTCACCTTCCCCGAAGAGGAGATCGATTCTCTAATCTGTGATTCGATATGGAATGTCGGGACAGCCAATATGAGAACATGGATATCTGATAGTGGTAGAGCATCTTCGTCATGGTGCCGCGATATGAGAGTATTCGACTTGTTAATGCAGCATTTTATCAAGCCCAACCTCGACTTTACCCAGCCTGGATATCCGACACCTCTCTGGCTAGCGATGCACCAAGGGGAGTATTATATGGCCGAAAGTTTACTCGATGCTGGTGCCAGCCCCAACAAACCCTCACTGGTAGTATGCCGCAATGCGCACCAAGAATGCTATTATGATACCGGACCCGAAATGCCATTGAAGCAGGCGATATGCCGATACGATAACAGATTCATAGAATTACTCACTGTAAAAGGAGCAAACATACATTGTTTGATAGGTGGAAGTTTAACGCCGCTTCTCGTTTCCCTCGAGAGGGGAAACGAAGATGCTGCCAGTTTTCTTCTCTCCAAAGGAGCAGATCCAAATGTGGTCGATATATCCGGTAGATTTACTGCTCTTGGGCTTGCTTTCGAAAAGGGTTTCTCGCTCCCCACCGTCCAGTTACTTGTTCAACGTGGTGCAGATGTTAACAGGCCTTCCATATGGGCTACGCCACTTGAACAAGCCGTACAAGGAGACTTTCGGCAAAATGATCTTTTCGAGAGATGTCGAATACTTCTGGCAGCAGGCTCCGACTTCAATGCTTCTACCGGAAGCACTGCAATCCAAATAGCAGTCTCCAGAAATAGACTGGAGCTGGCTAAGCTCCTGATTGATGCAGGCGCAGATGTCAATGCCTCAATGACTGGATCGACAGCACTTCAATTGGCGGTTCATAAAAATGACACAGATTTGGCAAAACTTCTTGTCGAAGCTGGTGCCAACCTGAATACTTCCTCGGTTCGAGCCAGTGCACTTCAATTGGCTGTCAGCAATCATAACCTGGAACTGGTCGTACTCTTTCTTGCAGAAGGCGCCGATGTTAATGACTCGACGTCCGGGGAGACTGTGCTCCAGAGAGCGGCCAATCTAGGGAACTTGGAAACGGTTAAGCATCTCGTTGACCGAGGTGCCGATGTTGGCGCAAAAGTCCCTGGCAATTCCGCAACAGCTCTTCAGCACGCCGCAATGCATGGTAGCGTTGAGATCGTTAAGTATCTTGTTGAACATGGAGCTTCGGTCAACGAAGAAGCTAGTCCTTTCTACAAAGCCACAGCACTCGGGCTTGCAGTTGCGAACAATCATACTCAGACAGCCATGTATCTCATCGAAAGCGGCTCGTCCGTCGACGCAAATCTATCCCCTCCTGTGACGACAATCCTTCAACTCGCCGCAAAACATGGGAACCTCGAGATCGCTACTTGTCTAGTTGAGAATGGAGCGACAGTAAATGCAGCACCCGCGACTGTAGGAGGGGCAACTGCTCTTCAATATGCAGCAATCACTGGTAACATCAACATGGCTGTTTTCCTTATCGAACATGGGGCTCATGTCAGCGCCAAAGGAGCAGAGGTTGGTGGAAGAACTGCACTTGAAGGAGCGGCAGAGCATGGCCGACTTGATATGATTTCCCTTCTATTGGATAACGACGAGGAACCTGACACAATTGACGCAAGGTGTCACAATGCAGCAGAATTTGCGGAGCTTGAACACCATGACGTGATTGCTAGGATATTGAGAAACTATAGGAGGCCATGATGCTTACGAGGGATTGGAAGCAAATGTGTCATTGAGGGTTATATTCATAGGTTATCGATTCTATTGCTGCATTTGAAGTGTCATGTCTAAGCTAGCTGCTTCTGGGCAACCGCACTGTCTTAAGCCTCCTCCTTGTTCTTGTTTCTCTCGTCCATCTCGACTTGTTCAACACTAGCAGTCTCGATGTCCTTCTTTTGGTGTTGAGGAAGGTCTTCATCGTGGACACCAGCAACGGCGTGCTCAAAGGCACGGCCACGCTTCTCAGGGCCAAACATTGTGGTGAACATGATGCCGAGGGCAATGATAGCAGTAGCGACACCCATGACAGGGCCATAAGCCTCAACTTTGTCACCGTTCTTTAGTGTGACAAAAGTCTTTTCGGCGATGGCGTTGACAATCTGGGCTGAGGGAGACGAGATCATGTTGCCAATCTGGTAAGTGACACCAGGGAATGAAGATCGGAAGGCAGGGGGTGACAGCTCGTTGAGGTGGATGGGAATAACACCCCAGGCACCCTGGACGAAGAATTGGATGAAGAAACCAGAAGCGCTCAATCCTCTCTCGGTTGTGGGGAGAATCCAGGCTGGGATCATGAGGGCGGACATGAAAGCCGAGACGATGATGGCACGGCGACGGCCAACAAACTGGCTGAGATATCCAATAATGGTGCCGCCAACACAGGCACCAGTCTTCATGAGAATCGAGGCACGAGAAGCAGCAGAGTTGTTGAGCTCCTTCTGCTCCAACATGAAAGTGGTGTAAGAGTCTTGAGAAGTGTGCGAGTAGTAGTTGAACCAAGTCATGAGGAAACAACAGTAAACACACATCTTCCACTCGGCTATGAGCATCTTCTTGCAGTCTGCCCAGAAAGCACCGGGTGTGGAAGACTTCTTGCCCTTGGCGCGGGCTTCGAGGAATTGTTGGGACTCGGGGAAGAAGATACGAACGATACCGACGGCGATTGAGATACCGGCTTAGTGATGTTAGTACGAGTGAAATGATAGACTTTGGCGATGATATCTTACCAGCAATCCAGAAAACGGTCTTCCAACTCTCAGTGCTACCTCCAACGCCAAGGTTGGCGCATGCAGCCAAGACGTACCCGAAAGAGTAGCCCTGTTGCAAAATACCGGACATCAAGCCTCGAGCGTTGGAGCTAGAGCGATATTAGCACGGAAATAAAGGCATTCTCCAAAACTTGGCAAACTTGGCATGATAAAGTTCAATTGGGGTAGGGTTGACTTACGGACACGACTCGAGAGCCATGGCGATAGCATTGCCGTAGACTCCGCCCATGAAAAGACCAAAGAGACTTCGCACGGCAAGGAACTGCTGGAATGTTGTGCTGTAGATGGTGGCGATCTGAAGAACACCGAGGATGATCATGTTGAAGACCATGGGCCACTTACGTCCCCATTTGTCACCAGCGAGACCGAACATGGCTGCGCCGACAGATCGGAGGAGGAGAGTGAGGGTGATGGCGGTGGTGATGGAGGTCTTGCTGGTGTCATAGTAGACCGACAGCTTCTTGGTCTGGATTGACAGAGCGTGGAAGTCGAAAGCATCAGCAGTCCAGGCGCAGAATCCTACAAGGAAGAAGATCCAATCCTTGCCAGAAAGCTGAGCCATCAGACTGATGGGGTTCTTGATGGGATCTGGGTCCCGCCACTCAGTGGTCTCTTCGCCATGCTCGTTGGTGATCACGACGCGCTGCTTCCAAATGAAGAGATCACTGAGAGCTTGCTTAGCTGTGGGAATGACACCCTTGACCACGGGGCCAGCGGGCTCGCCTGCAGATGGTTGCTGGACCATTGTAAAGATGCTTATACAGGTCTTGTAGGGAGAAGAGAGTGAGGGGGTGATGATGGCTGGGGAGAATTGAGTTTACGAGGAGAAGAGGGGGGTTTATATCCTTTTTGCGCAACGCCAGCCACGGCCGCAGATCACAGCAACAACCTTAATGTGTTATCTCCGATTACAGCATCACTAGCCATTCCCCTGCAATACCATACCATGCAGTGTAATGGTAGCATACACGCCAACATGTCGCACCAACACAAAACCCTAGAGTTACAGTCGACGTGGGGATGGGTCTCGAAGTTGGGGTACTCGTCTAGCGGATCATGCCCGTGAACAGAAAGTGAGGTGACCACCCTAGCCTTGTTCTGTTCCCCGCAGAGCGAAGGAATATGGGGATGGAGAAGGGATTATCATTTGTTGAGCCGGGTGAGAACGGAGGGAGGAAGGAAGGTTTGTTGACTAGGATCAAGGTTGAGAGTTTGTCGTCTGTGTGTATGCGGGGGAGAAGAGGATGACAACGGATCCGCAAGTTTTACGAATGGACGAGTTCAGACAAGATAATGTGATGACAATACTACGTAGTCCAGTGTTTTCGCTGTTTCTGCTTGTTTTTGGTATCTCGTTATATGACATATCCCCCTCTCGCCATATCCTATGACGCTGTATCACTCCATCACCGACAAAAGAGGGCTGGAAGCCATGAAACACAATTGGTCACATGGGATTAACCACCACGATGACAACCCCGTTTGCATACATACGAAGGGTGGACACCTCCAAAAACGTGCGGAGAGGCCGAGCCAGACTTATTCGGCAATACGGCACCGCTGTGCTTCTCAGTGTAACTGCCGATCACCCCGGAATTTACGCTTATACCACTTTAACGTTAGGGTTTGACATAACATTTTAAGGCTCCCTGTTAAGCTTACCTTGCACTGTGAAATATGGGGCCTCACACCCACTGGCTCTGCGGGGAGAGACAACTAACACCTAGAAACACCAGCGGGCTAGCAAGGGCAGAATGTAGGCAGAACTTTTTTCTCACAATCCCCGCTTACGGTGTAATTCACTACAGAGAAAACAGAAACAAGTGGAGGCAGAATTGGGGGAGATACATGCCGAGTCTCCATCTCGATAGGTGGCCTTGACGTTGGAGGTGAAAGGTATTGGCGTTTTCTTGGTCACATCTAGGGCCTCGAGGGTCGAGGTGAACTTGGTGGTGTAGCAACGACCCATGACAGTTGTTGGTTTAATCCCTCGTTGGTCCATGCTTACATGCATCGTCTGTGTGAGTTAGGATTGTTCTGGAAGTTGATCGCCGTGGCACTTCTGTAACATCGTCCCTCTTTCGCCAGTCACTTTTGCAGTCCGACTGTTTTTCTTGGTTGGCGATCATTTCGACGGGATGACCTCACTAAGTGCGTCTTGGCTGACTCGGGAAATAATCGCCTTGGCGCCGAGACGCTTTCTCGATGAGGAAATCCGTCGCATTGCAGCCGACTTCATCTATCGTCAGTACCAAGGGTTCACCCATTTGAAGCTATCGCTGAAGACCAGCCAAGTTCCTGTAAGATGTTATGAAAGGCTGCTAGAGATACGAGACAACATAAGAATGTCAAAGCTTTACGAGTCGAGTCTTCTGAGTCAATCTTCCCTCCGTATTTTCCCCAAAGCGAACAAGGATTCCCTCCTCGGTTGGAGATTGAATCGCGGGGGCTAGGCTGCATCTGCTTCTTTAGTCACAACCTCCGCTCAGCATTAACCCAACAAAGTAATTGGCTAGAAGAATCGACGCACTCTTCATCGCACTGATTGGTTCTTGACCCCCAAGGTCTCGACGTTCTAGTGGCGGCTCGTACGATATCTCCAACCTCCACTCCACTTGAGGGGAACGATACATCTCTAGCTGGGGGTTTCGAATGCCCGAGGTTAATGCAATCTTGACTTTCCACTGAGATCCGGGGTATCTGGGGCTGTTACGCGTGTTCAAGAGTGAGAGATTAGGGACCGTGTCGGAGACTGCGCATGGGAAATGTCGGGAACACAAATGTAACAGAGTCCAAAGTGCTACGGTTCCAGACTCCGACGATGCATCGAGACTGGGGACACGAACGAGAATCTCCTATCATCCCAAGCGCCCGCACCTCTAGCGTTTTCGAGAACATTTCCCAATCATAACTCATACACTCTTCTCCACGCGTTGGCAACCCTTCTTCTCCAAATTGTGGCAAACCTACCCCTGCCAATACGTGGAATGCTTCCGCTTATACCTTGATAAGCATGTATGCTTTTTATTCGGATCATTTCGGGATGTGGGAGGATGGTATCATGATAGGGAAAATTGTTATCATGAAAAAAGTAATGAGCTGTTTCGATGTCTGTTTTTGAGTCATCTTCCCCATAGAGAAGCTTAGATGTTTCCGTAGGTCCGAGATCTTAAATCTCAACCCCATAATCTGAATCTTTCTCCAGGCGTCAACCATGTCTGTCATACCACAGTTGCAGCATCCCCAGAATACGGGCCTCAGATCACCTGATTTGAGATACAGCTGAGATGAATCCTTCGTTAATCTTGTGTTATGGAGCTGTGATCAGATGTTAGCTGTGCATTGAGGACGCTTTGACTCCAACTTTGTATACGCGCGGAACTACGAGTCCGTTGCGAGTATAGTCTGATACTGGGGTCATGGTGTTGTGATTCGACGGTGATGTGATTTGGGGTAAATAGTTCCAAACTATCGTTGAGGCATTATGGAGTGGTATCTAAATTGTGAGCTAGGTATGTCACCCTCGTGGCTTAAACTTTATGCTCGAGCCTTCTGTTGGTGACGGAGACTAGTCATCCCTCGTAATACTTTCTGGACTAAACATTAGGGTTAGAAGGTAGCAAGGTCGGTTGCGCAAGATCGAAACCATCCCAACCATCTATCTCTAGTGACACTCAGACGACAAGTCTAGAAGGCCATGTGCCGAGACATCCGAAGCTTCTAGGCTGAGCTATCTTGAGTGCACTACACGTGGTGTTGTCAAGTGTTTCACTGGTTTCAAGCCACTGAATTATGTATGGTTGAGTTGCTGCTTCGGTTCGTGATACCTGCTTGGTAACCAACGATGCGGGCGCCGAATCGCAATCCTTGACATCTCAGCTGTCCCCCCGTCCTGGTCAAGACGAAAACGGACGGTAAAGAAACGGCTTGTCGTTATCTCTTGACAATTTTCTGTGAGTCAATCCGAGGAGAAAGGCGCCAAGTATTCAATGTGTCTGTAAGTTGGCGTCAGTGCAAACCAGCTTCTCTGAGTAGATAACACTGGTATAGCGAATTATTATTTCGAGTATAATAAACAACGAGGGTGCCGCAATGTTGGAAATTGCTTGTAGAGAAGGGGCCAGATCAGTCTAGGTATCGAAGCTTGATATTGAGGGAGGATAACGCAACTCCATTTTCCTGGGAGACATAACAGTATATGAAGTTTATAGCTCGAGGGATAGGCCCACGTGGCAGTATTTGTTTACATCTCTTCAAATCCCTTCGAAGTCCTCTGTTACCCACTTGGATTTCCCAAGTCAGTTACTTGTGCTGAGGGTCTAGGTTAAGCTATTTGAAAAGAATACTCTTCGAAATGACCCAATTCACGAATAAGAAGCTCGCCAGCACACCAAGCGATGTATTCAAGTTACTAGAGTAGAACGAATGATCATTAAATAGTTAAAGGGCATCTGAGCTAGAATGATACCTCATAGAAGCACCATCTTAGTCCTTTACCCCCGCGTATTCCCATTTGACGTTCCATTAATGGTATGGCATTTTATCTTCCAGCAAGGCAAGAGAAGATACAGCTTATGAAATAGCCATAGACCCCCCGTACTAAGGGAATTGTTATTTTCTGGGTTACGTTTAGTTACCACAGAGTCCTACTGTGCCTTTCTGGTCAGATTTCTGCAGGAGAGGAAGAGAGCATTTCGCTAGCATGGATGCCAACAACGGAACTCGTGATATTCCACGTGAGTCCGTGGTGAACAAAGCTCAAAATAATATGGGTCTTTGACAAACACACTGTATCACCCTCTGTTCAATGACTGTGCCAGAGGTCATGGCGAATAATCCTACCGCTTGAATTTGTGGCTCAGCCAGCCTTACGATACCCTCCGAGTCACCTTCGAATCCACGCAAGATTCTACTGGATGGCTCGGACTCGAGTCGGAAATTTATAAAGTACCGTCTTAATAAAACACCAACGTCATTAGTTGTGATCTTCACCGACGCGCGTCTGACTGGCTGCTCCGTTTCCTTTGAACGCTAGCAATATTTTGATTGGTCGGAGTTTGAAACTAAACACCCTTCGAAACAAGTGTAGATCCTTCGCGCTGTAGGATTATACGAAAACCGGCAGTTTCCAAATTCGTCATTGGCCGCGGCGTTCGAAATGTTAGTAATTGCTCAGTATTAAACTTTGATCAGCTTGAGCAGCCACGTTGGTCGTGTAGTTACTACCGAGAAGGAGCGGAACTTATGGGGCTCTTAAATATGATACAAGCTGCGATCATCCGTGTGATCCCCTACCGTGACTTTTAGAGTAATCAATATCTCCAATATGCTCAGTCTACTCGTGAAAGCTACGACATGCATCGCTTTGCTATTGTGCCTGGCTTGGTATGGACAGACTCATTTTTACCGTGATCCTGGTAGTGTCTTCTTCGATAAAGCACGAGCATACGAGACACAGTACTCGGAACATCGGAAAGCTGAGGTTGAGAAGCTAATAAACTCGTATCCGGAGCTGAAAAAGCCGGCCCTGGGCCAAGCGCGAGATGGAAACAAACTTCTCTGCATAGCACTCAGTTCTGTGAAGCGTGAGACACATTACCTCCCCGTAAGTGCTACGCAAGATAGATGATTATGCTCAAGCTCATTGGCATAACAGATGACAATAGGGAGCATTGTGCACGGCCTTTCTAAGGAAGAACGAAACGACCTCCATATATCCATCCTGATAGCGGAAACCGATCCAAGACGCCATCCCGGCTGGAACCACCAATGGCTAAACCATGCAGCCGACGACATCTTCACCTACGATGTCAACGATACGCAAACGAAACATCTGAGCGACCTTGAGCAAAGCGGAAAATACCAGGAAAAAGGCGTATTCGATTACACTTACGCCCTCGAACGATGCTACGCCACTGGCGCATTATACGTTGGCATGTTTGAGGATGACATTATTCTTGCTGAGGGATGGTTTATGAGAATTTTACAAGGACTATCAGAGATATCTGACTCTGGGAACTGGCTCTTCATGCGTCTTTTCAACCAGGAGAGATCAACAGGGTGGTCGAGTCGGGAGATTGGCGGAAACAACGAATTCTTGATAATCCTGGGCATCGACATAGGAATCGCAGCCTCGGTGTGGCTTGTACGTCGACATTGGCGAAGTTCACGGAAGTATCTTGACATGGAGACACTCGCAGTGACAACCTTGATACTGGTACCGGGACTGATAGTACTACTGTATCAGTCGGGAAAAGCGTCATTATTTCCACCACCCCCAGGAGTTTTCAGAGAACCTTTCGGATGTTGCTCACAGGCAATGATTTTCCCACGAGCTCAGGTACCTTTAGTGGTAGATAGCCTGAAGGAGAGGAAGGAAGGGCAGATAGACTTGATGCTCGATGAGATTGCTTCGAGCAATGGTCTTGATAGATATGCTTTGTATCCAGTTCTGGCACAGCATATTGGTGAGTTTACCTAACGGCGTTGAAGACGGCTAGCTAACAACTTTTAAGGAGTCGATTCAGCGAGGAAGACAGCAAAAGACGAAGCACAAGCCATCTGGAGCATGGCCTTTGAAAATCACAACCCCAGAACTCTCAAGAAAGAGCACAACAAACTCCTTGAAAATTACGAATTGTGGCGTGAGAAGGTGGAGCAAGATACTCTTGACTCTTTTTATCTCGATGAGTTATCATAGTCTCTACCCGGTAATAAACTTAATCATAGAGCGAGGCCTCCTCAAATAGATAGAACTTGATTTTGGTATCACTTTTCCTTGTAAACTCATGGCAGCTCTTCGCTAATGCCAATCGTGATATGTATATGCAATATATCACATGGAAGCCCAAGGCAATTTGGTAATCAAATAGCAATTGCAAGTTTCTGAAATCTCGAGCAGGCAAGGACAAGTCCACCAACATCGCCTGTGCAACGCATGCATGTTATGAGGATAGGTTGATAGAGGAAGAGACCGTCTCTCTGCTGAGTTCTCTCTGCTGATTTGAGCTCTCAGCCACAAGCCTCAGCTGCAAATAACACATCTGGATAACAACTTAGACTGAGAGCTCAAGTCAGCATAGAGAAATTAGAGGAAGAGACCGCTGGTAACCAATTTTATTGAAATTTCTGCCATAAAAGTCCTTGTTTACTCAGCCCTTTACTCGGTGAGTCTCGATAGCTTCGCCCTCGGAACATTTATAGACTCGGCGAGTATACCGACTAAGAATAAGGTTACTATTATGCCTATACTGTATTATCCGCCGGCGATTTTAAATCACGCCAATAGAGCGGATGAAACATCCAGCATAGACAACAGGCATACTCTAGTGTTTCATGATCCAGAAGAAGCAATGGCTCACTTTGAAAGGATGCGTTTCATAAAAACCAATGCAAAGGTTCCGGCTGATCGGCTCATGCGCCAAGACTGTCACTTCGATCAACGACTCCCAAAGAAGTAACTCCTTCATGCTGCTTCGTCTATGAGTGGATAGTCCGTGCCAGATTAATCTTTTAAAGTTTCGCCTTGCGGGACGGAAAAATTACCATGTTGCAAGCTAGCCTGTCAAAACGAGATACGACGATCATTCCCTCTATCAATAGTAGCACGAGTCTTTGCTCAAGATGGCGAAATCCGCTTTGTCTTGAAGAGGCTTCTACTTTCCTGTTCCAGACGCTTGGCCGTTGTCAAAGTGGATGAACTCCACAACTATTGGATCGTGGAGTTGAGGCTAAAATGAGGGTTTTTCAGCATCCCACTTCATCGCGGCCAAGATGGGATGGATAGTGGAGTATGGGATGTTGGCGATATGAGAGAGTGAATTATATCATTCATGCAATCAATGAGGCTCTTCAATGTCTGGACCAGCTATTTGAGAGAACCAGGGGTTGAGTATCAGAAATAATCATGGTTTGTTGACATCATCAGAAAAGATCGTGAGAGCAAAAGAAAAGGACTTTACAGAGCTTAACGATAGACAGTACTAGTAAAATTTTGATACCAGTGATGCTCCTAGACTAACAATACATCATCGGCGAATATTTCCTCATGCTCTCCTTGATTTGATGGATCTTATCAATCTGATCAAGGCATTAACCCCCACGAGTGTCACAGGCTAGATCCGAGAAGGCATAGCAGTGCCCACTCTTCATTAACCTCAGGGCATGAAGCTCCACCGGCAAACTCAAGGACATGCCATAACCGAAGTCTTGTCCGCGGGTGTCTTGGGCCAAGTATTTCCATTTATCCAGGCGTGTTTCCTCTTTCTGTTGGTTCTGATGTTTTGGCTCTTCTTTCACTCATTACCTCACTCTCCATTCTCTTAGCCTAGGTGCTACAGTCATTCTTTACTATATCCTCCGGCAGGTAAATCCGTTCATTATGCGTACTTCAACTATCGTTGCCTCTCTGGCGGCTGCCGTCTCCGCCTATGAACCCTGGCTCAACGAGCCTGACACTGGTCTTAACACTTACCTCGCTAGCACCAACTGGACCGAGGGCAGCCGCCCTCTTCTCAAAGATATCCGAGGCGTTCCAGATTTCGATTTTGCTGCTCGCCAAGTCTTGACTGATCAGCAGTACGCTTTCTACCGCACTGCTGCTGCGGGAGAATGGGCGTACCGCAACAACCTCAAGGTCTGGGAGAAGGCTAGACTTCGACCTCATCAACTCGCCAGCGTGAAGGGCCTCAACGAGACTCTTGGTGTTACTATCCTAGGCCATAACTTCAGTGCTCCCATCTTCATCTCCCCTGCCGCTCGTGCTGGATATGGTGACTCTGACCGTGGTGAGCTCAACTTTGTTGACGCAGCTGCTGATGAAGACATTCTCTATGTTGCTGCTCTCTATGCCACCAAGACCATTGAAGAGATTGGAGCTCAGCGCAAGAAGCGTGGCAACACCATCTTCCAGCAGATCTACTCCAATGCCAACCTGTCTGTAACTTGGGATGCCATGAAGCGTGCTGAGGACCAGGGTGTCAAGGCTTTTGTCTGGACTATTGATGCCCCTGCTACATCTACTCGTCACCGAGCTGCTCGCTATGACACCACCAATGCGTATGTTCACCCTTCTTGAACACCAATATCAACTAACAAACTTCAGCAATGGTGCCACTTCTGTTCTAAGCTGGGATCTTTTCAAGGAGATCAAGTCTCACACTAAGCTTCCCATCATTCTCAAGGGTATCACCACCACTGAAGACGCCCTTCGTGCTGTTGAGGCCGGTGCTGATGGTATCTGGCTCTCAAACCACGGTGGTCGTCAAGTCGACTACTCTCCGTCTCCCCTTGAGATTGCATATGAGCTTCGACGCAACGCCCCTGAGATCTTCACAAAGACCGAGGTTATCGCCGACAGCGGTATCCGTTACGGAAGTGACGTGATCAAGCTGTTGGCTCTTGGAGTTAAGGCTGTTGGTCTTGGTCGTCCGTAAGTTTTCATTTTATTGACTGCTCAGAAAATTTGCTGATATTCTTTGAGTTTCATGTACTCCAACGTCTATGGCGTGGAGGGCCCCAAGAAGCTTATCCAGATTCTCAAGACTGAGATTCTTGCGGATGCTGCTCAGATTGGTATCACTGATCTTCACAACATTCCTTCCAAGGTGGTAAGTTTAGTCAACTATTAGGACGGAGACCAGTCTAGCTAACAAATACAAGCTCAACACTCGTGCCCTCGAGCGCGATGTTTATCTCATGGACGAGAATTAAGATGTCTTGCCGCCCCAAGAGGAGCGTTTATGATATTTACCTGTATATATTTTTAAGCAGATAAATATATAGAATTAAAAACTGCTCTTATCGAGGTACTCGTAGTTCTCCGTTATTAGTAAAGAATTGCTAGCCCAGTTGATTGGTCAGGATGCTGAGCTGCATGGTGGCTTGCTGACTGTCATGTGCTACACTCTAGACTGTCACAACTGAAATCAACGACTCCTGTCTCGTGTTTCCCAGAAGCACAAAGAAAATCGCGCAAGGAGCGCTAGCCATGGAGAGCAGAACCTCCGTTGAATTGAGGTGCCGGGTTTGCCGTCGGATACCATGGAACCTCGAAGAATGGCAGGCATCGGCTGCTATTCAGCATCACGACTCATTCGAGGCCCTTGAGATCTCAGCAGCCAGAGGTTGTCATCTCTGTCGCAGTTTTCGTGCTACGGTATACTATAGTCTCGGAACCATTGGCCTGAAGTTTCCTCCAGCAGGTCCCTGTTCCCTCTGGTTGCCCACGAAAAGCTACATTGGCTTATCCGGAAGAGAGGTTAATCCCGATGCGGGTGATTGGCCTGTAGTCTGTAGATTCTACGTTGGGGATGTTCTGTTTCTCCTTGCGATATCCGTACATCTCGTTAGAGCTGACGAAGAGGTTTCGGTAAGTTAATTTGATCATCCATGGCACTCTCAGAAATTAACGGAACAACAGAAAGCTGCTCCAATATCATTAGACATGGCCTTGGGACCTAATCTGAAAGATGAGCTTTGTCATCAAATTCAAGATTGTATCAACAAACGTGGCGTTCATCAAGAATGCGACGTTGGGTGGTTTCGTCAAGATCTCAACCCAAACCCACCAACACGCCTCATAGACGTCGATACTAACGATCCCAGTATCGTTAGACTCATTGTCACCGCCGAGGACTTACACAAAGACGTAGTCCCAAAGTATCTTACGCTCAGCTATTGCTGGGGCTCTACCAATGAACACGCAAAAACTACCCGAGCAACAATAGCCGCAAGGCGCGAAGGGATCGCAGTACATGACCTCCCGAAGACTATACAAGATGCTATTCAAATTACGCGGCTATTGAAGTTTCGATACTTGTGGATTGATGCTATATGCATCATTCAATCAAATCCTGAGGATGAGTACCTTGACGATTGGAATTCAGAAGCACCGCGCATTGGATCATACTACGTACATTCTAAATGCCTCATCTCGGCATCCGCTGCGTCGGACAGTAGCCAGGGGGTTTTTGTTGAGCAGACTGCCCGAAGGTATCCTCTGAGGACGTGTGCACTGGCTTTCAACAACGAGAAACAGGAGTATATCTGTCTCTCTGTGCCACGTCCATCTCCTTCAGAAGATTGGTCCGCTGAGCCGCTGGGATCAAGAGGATGGTGCTTACAAGAGGCTGTTCTGTCACCTCGGATCCTGCATTGGTCCAAATATTCTTCGATATGGCAATGTAACGGCACAAAGAAGAGTCTTAAGTATGGAAGTGATTTGGACACCGCGCAAGATATCAGAGCCAGTCGGTCGCATACCAGCCTTGCCCAAGAACCTGATAGTGCAATGGGCGACGCATGGACAGAGCTTATATCCAGATACTCCAAGATGCATTTCACCTCCGAGACTGATCGACTCGTTGCAATTCAAGGCTTGGCTAACCGACTTGTTGACCTTCATGGTGACGAGTACTTTGCCGGAGTATTTCGTTCACACCTTGCTGATGGGTTGCTATGGAAGAATTCGTACGACAAGGCTCACAACGCACTGGCTGGAGTACCCACCTGGTCCTGGGCTACAAGGTGCCTCAATATCTGGTTTCTTCCAGTCTCACATTCCTTCATACGGTTCACGAAACCAAATGTCTTCCCGGACAACCACGGCCCCATAAATCTCGACACTCCTGAGAAATGTGCTCTTCGATTTGAAGCTCCACTGATCAACATAAACCTAGGAAGGCCGTTCACGGAAACCGACATTGTTTCAACAGTGCAAAGGCCTGTGTTTGCATGTCATGTAAGCTTCACAGAAGACAGTGAAGACGAACACGCCGTGAATTTCGAATACGATGCCGAAAGCCTGATGCCTGAAAGTTTTGAAATACTAGAGGTACTTTTCCTCGGACTGCACGCGCTTCATAAACAGCGAGGATTTATTGGTCCGAGTGAGTTCGAAGAATCAACTGTCGTTGACCCTGATACTATAGTATCATGTGAAGGGATTCTCTTGCGAAAGGCAGGTCATTACTATGAACGTGTGGGGAGACTTGATTTTGACATGCCCAAGAATTACAAACGACGGGTAAGATTGAAAGAGCTGATGGAAAGTAATAGAGCGAATGTTTGTCTTACATAGGTAGCTTAATGTTATATTCGGCTTGACACAAGGACATGATGTTTTCAGAAGATAGCTCGATGTCGTTCTTTTCTTAGGCCGGAACTTACCGTCTCCTCTAACAGAAAGAACAGGGCGGAATTCCTGACATCATAAGAATGGATCAATCTCCTTTCAGCCTCGGATTTTCATTTTGTCAGAGGCTGTGCGAACCTACAGCCCCATTTCGAAGCAGAGCTGAAGCTCTACTCTAAACCCATTTGGGCCTCATGTTGCGATACCCTTGTAAAGCCAAGAACTACACCTCAACATCTGACCAATCAGACAAAGCGCAGCATGCTACCAAGTTAGGTAAGGTCAATATCGCCTCGACGAAGTCAGATCTCTGTATAAGTCTGGACTTGTCATTGGCTATTTACTGGTATTTTGGTGTCTGAGCCACTGAGAATAGGCGAAGCTTGGATATTGAATGCTTGCTGATCTTGACAGCGGAATTAAGCTTGTTTACTATGTCTTCGCTTCTTAACATGGATGATGGCGATGACATGGTCAAAGATGAGGTAGCTGCTGTATAAATAGCTCTAGCTCTTCCCGAATCCCGATTATGTTACCATATCATCGGCCATCATCATGGTTTCCTACAAATTTCTTACAATTGCTATCTACGCGGGAGCAACACTCGCGCTTCCACAATCTAAAACCGCCAGTAACCCAACAGCTACCATAGACAATGGTATCATAATCGGAACTTCAACGTCCATTCCTGATTCCAAGCTCAAGGTCAATCAGTTCCTGGGTATCCCCTTCGCCGAAAAGCCCATTCGCTTCAGTCCCCCAAAGCCAGCCAAGCCATGGGGTACTCCCTACAATGCCACCGCATACAAGCCCGCTTGTTTTATGAAGTTCAACTATCCCGAAGAACGAAGGAATCAAACGATTGAGATATTTGCTACACCTGGGCCCCCGGCTGGGACTAGCGAAGATTGCCTGAACTTAAACATTTATGCTCCTGCGGGTGCAAAGGCTGGTACAAAACCTGTTGCGTTCTGGATTCATGGAGGAAGTTTCAGTCATGGATCTGGATCTTTGCCTTATTATGAAGGATCCAAGATGGCGGGCTATGAAGATCTGGTTGTCATTACTATTAATTACAGGACCAATATCTTTGGATTTCCAGAAACCTACGATTTGCCGAAGGGAGAATGGAATCTGGGGTGAGTGAGATCTCGCATCTCAACCGTATTTCCTGACTAACATAGCCCAGTTTGCTTGACCAACGACTAGCCCTCACCTGGGTCCAAGACAACATCGCTGCATTTGGAGGAGATCCCAAGAAAGTCACCATCTTTGGTGAAAGTGCCGGCGCAGGAAGTGTTGATGATCTTCTCACAGCTCCACCAGAACCTCTTCCCTTTCGCGCAGCTATTCTGCAGTCGGGTTCTGCCTCAACAAACGTTACGCCCACTGGCTCTTGGAAGAATGCAACCAAGCTAGCTGGCTGTGACAAAGGTGACTTTTATCAAGTCCTCAAGTGCATGCGCGAGATTCCAGCTGCCAAGCTTAAGGATATCATCGAAAGGGGCATGCTCGATTTCGCACCTCTCAGCGATGACGGGGTCACACAATCAAACTATCCCCGCGACATCCGGCTCAAGTCAAAGAACAAACCAAAGCTCATGGTCCGTGTTCCTGTTATGTTGGGCACGACAGCAGATGAGGCAAGAATCCCCAACTTCATGAACATCACAGTAAAGGATGCTCTGAAAACCTTGGCCCCTGGGATAAGTGACTTCCAAGTCTCGCTCCTCAAGTTCCTCTACCCTATCGGATCTCCCGGAATCAACAACGAGTTCGACCAGGTTACTAGAATGGCCACTGAAATCGGCATGCAGTGTCCCATTCGCTACGTCGCGGAAGACTTCGCTGAGGCAGATTTCAAGACCTGGCGATATATCTACAACGCGAGCTTTGCCAATACTGAAATCTTCAAGGGCAGTGGAGCATACCATTCTGCAGAGATTCCAACTCTCTTTGGGACGTTCCCCGAGAAAGGTGCTACTGAGTTCCAGGAGAAGCTAAGCAGGGAGATGCAGAAGGCTTGGGGCAAGTTCATCAGAGATCCCACTAATGGCCCTGGGTGGGAACAAATTCCTACGATTGGTGTCTTTGGAGGCGGTGTGGAACCTGATACTGCCAAGGAACCAGTCAAGGCATTGGATGTTAGAAATGCGAACATCATTGAGCCAAGATGCTTAATATTCAAGAGCATATGGGAGAAGGGTCAGACAAAGGAGTAATGTCATTGTTTGTAGGCCACATTCGTACAAGTTAAGAGGTCGTTGACCTTCATTGAAACAGTTCCAACAACTTTGCGTATTTATTTGTATATTTATCATTATGTCCAATGATTTCATATCGGCCAGTTGTATATAAAGAACCTAGACAAGATCAGGATTGCACGCGGCCTGTAATGCATGGCTAGTGCCTGGCCGTATACACAAAACACTCATACTTATCACTTATTACTATCTTGACCTGGCACAGCATCATTCAGTACCAGCTCTTAATAAGCAGTGACGAGAGCTCCCATACGCCTCTATTCTAGATCTTCACTCATGCTGACATCATTGATGGGAAACTGAGTTTTCACATGACTTGCAATCAGAGCCTTTACCGATTTCTTTTCCGGTTCCATATCTGGAAGACCTTGAAAGACTGATGGGTCTCCTTGTTTGAGCATGTCCTTCAGCAAGCGGAATGTAGTGACGGCTAGGTAGCTCGCGTTGACTTGCTCTCATAGACCTTTAAGTGCGAGGACGACTGCTGACTGTAGGGCTTTCGTGGCTTCCGGTGATCGTTACTTGGCGGAGGATATTGTGCCCAGTGTCATGAAGCCGAGGGTGATGTGGTACTGAAGTATAAACGGTTCAATACCGTGTATGAGGTAGTATAACCGTTGCACTGTTCCAAAATGCATATTGGCATCTGCAACGACATGATCCTCTGTGAAGACCCTGGATAATTGTCCAAGAATCTCTACAACCCTCGAGTTTCCGGATCCTTCTAGCCCCAGCTAAGAACTGATACTGCAGCGCCCGCGGGTTCCAAAGCTCTGTGCAGTGTGCGGCTTTATTGTATGTATACTATAGCTGTCAGCTAAAGTGTGCATCGATGTACTTCAGCAGACGCATGCTCCGGCGAGTACTGCATTGACGGGATACGATGAACAAAGGTTCTCGCGACCAGCGGCTATGTCGTCTAAGAAGTGGTCCTTGTGGAAAAAAGAAGTACATCTTGAGAAACTCTCGCAGCAAGTCCTCGCTTGCTGGAGTAATGTCTATTGCGATGGCCTCAGTGTATCGATGGGCGGCTCTGACAAATCCGCAGCATGATACGGTGCCCTGTATTGAGCTTGGTGACTGACTGTTCCCAGAATCAATCCAGCATTCGAATTGCTCGCCGCCGCATACTCATTAAGCATCCCATAGATACGAGATAGGAAGTAAGGATTATTGTCGACGTGCAAGAAATGGGGCATTTCAGGGCAGAATGCGAAGCTATATCGATGTCATGTTTGGGAACAAGTTCTCGGTGGGTGGGAGAGCACTCGCATAGAAGGCCGCGCTTGATACAGACGGTGGACCGTGGCGCTTGGCCATCGCACAGTTGGTGCTACAGCCCAAACAATTCACCCGCTCAACATTTCGATATATTTACTCTCACTTTGCGCTTCTTGCAGGCTAGACAAGCGGTGTCGACGTTCTTCCTTTGGGGAGGCAAGGGTGTTTGAGAGTTGCCCGTGCTTCCGTTGCGAGGGCCCACGATTCACAGTTGCCCGCCTTTGAGGGTCCGTCCGATGGCCCAGTGTTTAGGTAGAAGGACAGTTATTAGGTACCTAGGCAAAGGTACTGATCGAGCTGGCCTTTCTCTCCTCCAGCAACATTATCGGCCCGGCTGTTGCGCAGGTGCTTGGTTAGGTGGTACCTATTTACACAGGCCTCGGTGTCTCACTTCAATGACATCAATTGGTGCAGCTACGAAAGAAGAGGTGACTGAACACCAACCGAGTGGCAGTGACAGTAAAGTTTATGGCGTCATGGTAGGCTTCTAGAATAGAAGAAGGCCTCCCAGTGGCGTGCTAGTAAAGTAGCCTTAATTATAATATCTAGATATGGATGTTCAACTTAACCAGGCATCAACTTTACATTAACTCAAGTACCAAGAAGCTCTAGTATACTGCCATGCGTTTATGAAAAGTCTCGCTTAGAACCAGTAGTTTATCCCTAAAGATCCATTTATATCCTTGTGTCTCAAGTTCCCGACACCGGATCGAGAACAAGAGAACCGCGGCCCGTCAGTCTCACCTCCGCATCCGGAACCACGCACATTACAACCTCATGTACAAGGTCTGCCATGCTTCATTTGGCGAAAGATAAGCGAAGAGGCAGTGTTTCCACAGTTACCAAGGTCTAGCCAAGTAATGACATAAGAATTGCACTTGCGTGGAAGTATAAGAAGCAGGAGTCGTCATCAGAGTGATCCCTTGGTTTGAAGCTTTTTAGAAGCTGCAGTTACGACCTTTCAGACTGTCTATCGAATGAATTGATCTTGGAAAGCTCCCTAAGCAATCAGTAAGGAACGCTTAAAGCGCTACCGTTACTCATCTCTATCGCTGATGTTAGCCTGAGACATAGCATCACCACCTGCAAACGGCACCGCTCACAATGTCCACTAAGACGGTTATTATCTTGCTAGCATCTTTATCGCAGGGAAGAGAAATCTTGAAGAGACGTCACGATGAATCAACACCCATTATAGATAAATTCCCATGGTCTTCCTTCCTCAACAAAACAGGTCTCGATCCGCTCCAGTATCTCAAACTTCCATCTGACGAAACACCCGAGACACTCGTCTGCACTACGGCAAGATCTCCAATCTCAGACATTCGACGTCACTAACCATGATCAGGAACCCGGTCCCGATCGAATCGCCTGCCCAGTCTCCATAGCCGCGTGGTCGAACTTCACCGATGCAGAACAGCACATAAGCATCCCAGCTGGTCAATGCCTATCCGCAACAGAAGGAACATGCCGAACCGTGACGTGTGCGCCGAGAAGAAATGTCACCATTGTTAGTGATGAAATAACAGGACGAATGTGGAATCCTGTATCAACGAAGTGTGTGTTTGGTGGCGTTGGGGGAATATGGCAGAATGATGGGTCAACTCTGGTCATTGAGATGGGATACGCAAGTCAAGAGTAAATCAAGATGTATTCGTACTTTACAAAAGAGTCTAGTTGGTATTCGCATCCAATATCCTTACAAATCCAATATGCCTTTCCTAACCTTGCGCCAAAAGAGGTATCTCCAAATAATCCCATCCAAAGGTCAAATCGCTTTCATAATCATTTTGTGTTCCTTTCACGCCGCAACAGCACTGACAGCTCCGGTCATAGAAGGCGGTGCTCCGGGCAACTCCTCACTAGGGTCAAGCTCACCCTTCATCTCCCCCTCGCCCTCTTCGACCTTCTTCTCAGTTGTCTTCTTTCCGTCAGCGTCTCCAAGACCAATGATGTCGATCCATCGCCAGAACTCAACAGGGTTGTTGCCGCTCTTGTCAAAGATGGCTTGGTCGTTGTTGATGCCGTCTTTGCAGGGATCGCCATTGGCTTCATTGAACTTGTCGAGCTTATCGAACGAAGTACCGTCAACGAGATCTCCAGTGAATGTGCGACCGACGGGTACGTTGTTCTCACGAAGCATCTGGAGCTGAGCACGGAGGTTAAGGCGAAGCGCTCGCTCGGGCTGTTCGGCCTTGAAGATCTTCTGCGTCAACCACGGGAATAAGATTCCAAAGTCGGACTGGTTGAGATGTGCAGAGTTGACAACGTAGAAGAAGTTTGGCTCTGACATCTTGTAGCCACTGGGCCGCTCGAATAATTGAGGTGTAACGACCTTGACGGTAGGATCGGGGCTCAAAACACGAGCTTTCATGTTAAGATGGTCGGTCCACTTGAAGAAGTGTTCCGATTCGACTGCCAGAATAGCCTTTCCACCAGGAGCGCTGGCCTTGTCGGCATATGCAGGTAGCGGTAGGTTGAATAGAGGCGCCGAGTTGGGAGCCATCAAGGGCATGCACCACATGTCGAGCAACATGACGAGGGTCTTCTCAGTAACCTGCTTTCGAATATCACTGCCCTCAGCAGGGACAAAGATGGGCTTCTCTATTGCAGCAACCTCTTGAACATCAGCGTAGTATGTGCTCTTGAGGAATTGTGTCATAGTAGCAGCCCCAAAGCTGTGACCAGCGAAGATGATGCTGCCAGGCTCGTGGATATTGCATCGACCGATGAATTGATCGAGGCTTGGGGTTGAGCGGTTCAAGTTGGTCAATAGTGTGCCATTGTCAACGGCGAGCATGGCTTGATGAATCATGCCGAGCTCCCAGCATCGAATTCGGAGTTGGGCTTCGCGGGCTTGGTAGACTTCGGGGCTGACATCGTGGGAGATCTTCTCGTAGGGAACATGGATTCGGCCGTTGGAGGTGACGGTTCCGTTTTGCTTCTCGGGAACTCGAATGAAGCTTGCGACAGCGCTGCCGTCGCGATGCTCAGGGCAGATGACGACGATACCGTGAGAGGCAAGGGAGCCTGCGATGTAAGAGTAGGAGTTTCGGCATCCTCCCAGACCGTGCGAAAAGATCATGGTCGGCCATCGCTTGTTCTCGGTCGATGATTCGAGGAGTTTCGCATTCTTGTGGGCTGGGATCGTAGTGTAGTGAAGATGTCGGGGCAGGAATCTGTGGGTTGTCAGCGCAAGTCATTGAGACGATTCAAATTCGGCGCACTTACGAAAGGAACTCTGCCAGCATAGGCCCAATACCAAGAAACTTTGTGTATGCAACCAGATGCTGTCGCTGAGGGTTGGGCAACCAGCTGATGTGCTTCTCGTGCGATTCAGGAACAGCTGGGTAGAACATGCGATACTGGACGGTATGAATCTGATCGACGCCCTCGGGGGCAGCGCTGGGCGCTTCAAGTTCAGAGATAGGAATCTCAACATCGACGGTGCCGACCTTGTAGGGCCCTGTGTATTCAGGGAATGCAGGAATCGGGCTTAGGCGTGAGAGGTAGGACATTTTGGAGGCGTTCATGATGAAAGCTGATGCGACGGTGCGCAGAAACGAAGTGTGGCGTGTTGTATATCAATCAAGGATGAAGAGAATGAAGAAATAATAATCGCTGTGTGAATTCAATAGCAATAGAAAGTTTGTGCTTAGAAAGTGAAAAGACAGCGAAAGTCCGTCGGCGATTGGATTGCTCGTACAACGCGAATAAATCTAAGTGTGGCTGTATCTTTTGGGTGACGTTTACACGGACGGGACGCTATGACAAGGGTACAGCACTGCTTTCACATGCAAGAAAATGGCCAAACTATTCGCTGAAAGAACCAGCAATTTCGACAATGGGAAAAAAGGGGGAAAGCAAACAACATAAATAATTAATTAAAAAGGAGTAAAAGAAACGTTTCACAGCATCATCGTCAGCATCATAAAACAAGGGGCAAGTCACGCGACAAAAAACCTGCAAAGGCATGGAAGCATTGATCTATTCCCATTTGGTGACCGAATTGGCTGCAAGTGTCTTGTGCACAGTTACCAAGATCTTCTAGATTTTTTTGGGTACAGCAACTAAAAAAAAAGTCATTGAGGATCGACGTCATGATAAGATGTCATAGCCACGTAGACGCCACGATCCCCCCCAGGCCGAGGCAGAATAAGTCCGGAGATTCCGTATTTCTTGGCATTTTTGTTGGAGAATTTTCGTGGGTTTTCTTGCAGCCATTAACGGGGATGATCGTCAGGTCCATCGGTCTCTCGGCCGAGTTTAAACGTCCGTGATAGCTCGATGGTATCATTTGCAAACTCAATATGCAGGTTTTCCTCTAGAGCTTTCCCTCATAGACCGTGGACGTCGTAGTATCGTCAAACTCTCTCTACTCTTCCAGTGATAATATGCAGTCCCTTTCGAATCATCTCCTTCGATCCTCTTCTGGAATGACCTCCGTGATATCCATTTTGTCGTTCTCCTCTCCATGGTCTGCAGTCCTTACAGAAATCATGCCCACACTCAACGTAATCCCATCGCCATGGCTTAATATCCTGCTTGCAAACATGACCCTCATTAGGTCCCTTTCCGCATCTGCAGCAAATCCATCCTCTCATCATGCACTCTTTATATGCACATCCGGCCTTTCCGCAGGGCCGTAGCGATCGAATAACGGTAAAGTCAACGCTCCCGCATGAGCATTCTGCGCTGTTGGAGATTTCTTTTCTCGTCGTGCAGTCGATATATCGGGCTTTTTCTTCGTGCCCGCAGGCGTAATGTATCCATTCGCAGGTGCACATTGTGTATCAGTTCGCAGTTGGAGTTGAAGATGCAGGGAACCCATACCAGCGCGAGACAGAAAAGCAGCCCAGCCAGTGTTTGTAACCCGCGCAAATCTCCATTCAGTGACACAAAGATCTACGCGAATTCCTTGGATTTCGGCCGCGTCATTGTCCGTTTCTCGATCTTTGCATCACGCTCCATGTAAGTCTCCACAAACGTTCCGAACGACCACTTAAACTCCTCGTCAGCTTTTACCCTGAATCCAAGCTTCTCGTACACCAGTTTTCCCTTGGGTGTAGCCTCAAGGAAGCATGGGAGACCGTCTGTGTCTGCACGCTCGATGCCCCAGCGGAGAAGTAAAGTGCCCGCGCCTTTGCGTTGCCAGGTCTCGTGCGTGCAGATGACTTCAAGATAATAATGAGGTTTATCGCCCATGAACCCGCGATGGCCTCTTGTCATAGCGCCAAAGAACTCGACGGCGAGATCACCATTTGCTGGCCATGCCTCGGCTGGTGGAGGATCTTGAATTGGGGCACCGGGGAGTGCCCATTTCGCTAGCGAAACTACCTTTTCGTCTTTTGAGTCTGGGGATGATTTGTGAGTGACGACGAGTAATTCACACAGAGGGTCTGCAATGTCATCTGTGAAGGTTTTCTGAAAGAAGCGATCTGAGGCTTCGATGTCGGACGTAAAGACACGACTTCCGATAGATGTGTCACCAAAGGCTGAGTAGTAGACCTGGCACATCTCAGGGATGTCCTCTGGGACAGCAGGGCGCAGCTGAAGAGGCATCTTCGCGATATTGAGTGATGCAGTGAGTGAGAAGATGATTCAGTGACAAAGTGGTGACACGATTCATAAATATTGTGACACTGCTGAGCCGTCCTCTAGCATTGAATCGCCATGGGACATCCCCACAAGCGAATCCCAAGCGGAAGGTCTAGCGAGGCACCCTTGTCCATATTGACGGGTGTGCTTGAAGATCAACTGCGCTATTTGAAGGGAAAGTGATCATGTTGGAGGATATGATGAGTCTTGAATCTGGTGAAGGTCATAAAATGATGCCACAAATTGCAATCATTAGTGTTGAATAGCCTCGCTGATACGGTCGGTACAACTCAACTATTGACCCGTCTTATGCCGAATTACCCCGTCCCCCGCGCCCTTCACATCAAAAGCAACACTAAAGTATTGGCATGTACTGTATAGTATGACTCCTCAGTCTTGGCTTATAAAGATCGTGAGAAATGTTATAATCGAGAAATAAACAAAGAACCACAAACATCGTATACATCATCAAAATTGATCCACCATGTCCAACGACCTCGCCAAACAACTGAAGGCCCTTCACAAGCCATCATCACCAGTCGTCTTCCCAAATATCTGGGACGTCGCTTCGTTCCAAATCGTTACATCACTCAACAATGGGACTTCTAAGCCAGTCAAGGCTCTAGCGACAGCGTCTTGGGCCGTTGCAGCAACATACGGTATCCAAGATGAGGAGCTCACCCTAGAGCAGAACATGGAAGCGATTAGCAAGGTTGCACCGCTCGCCAAAGCGGCTGGCATTCCGTTGTCTGCCGATTTACAAGATGGGTACGGGTCTCAGATTGAGTCTACTGTCAAGCGAGCTGTTGAGCTTGGTGTTGTCGGCGCCAACATCGAGGATGTGAGCTCTGAAACAGGCGAATTCTATCCCATCGACGAACAAGTCCGACGTCTCAAGGCAGCTCTCAAAGCTGCCTCTGACGCAGGCTGTCCCGATTTTGTTGTTAATGCACGATGCGACACCTTCCACGTGGACACAGGCCTCTTAGAAGCTGAAGCGATAGAGGAAGCTATCAAACGTGGAAAAGCGTACCTTGAAGCCGG